ACCCTCTCGAATCTTTTAAAGGTTCATTGAGAGCTCATGTATGTCAAGACTATAACTCACTGAGACTGCCGTTTGCAGATATGCTAGAATCCCTTCTTGTCCCACCCCCGCTATGCGATCTGAAAGGGAGAATTTGGTCACCTCTCACAGTGGGGGAAAGGGTCTGCTCCTTAACCTCAGAATTCAGTTCCAGCACTTACTCCCAAGAACAGCAGCTAACCCTGTGGACCTCTCTTGTAGCCCTACTGGGTGGCAGAAAAGTCAACCCAAAAGGCGCAGAACAAAACCCAGCATCTTCGAGGGGCCCTCCTGACTTTGGTCATCTCTTCTCATTTCCCCTCCTCTACCCACTTCCTAGTCTTGCAAAGACAGGAGGGAAGGTGGGATGATGACTGTTAAAGAGGAAGAAGAGGGGAATAGGGGCCCTGGGTTTGTGAAATTGGGGGTGGGAGTTCACTGTGGGTTCAGAAATGGACTGACAAGGAGGTTTTGTTTGTTTGTTTTTGTGGGGGGAGGGTTGTTTTTCAACTTAATCTTGTTCAAAAAAAAGGCAGAGAGTAGAAATCCAGAAGGATGAAAGTCCCAGAGAGGGTCTAGAAGAAACGGGTTGGAGAAACTGGGATACTGGCACCCCCTATAGGCACCTCAAACCTGCTGGTTTAAAACTGAATTAATCATTAAGTCTATACTTTCATTTCCATAGTTCATTGCTAGAGATGTTTCTCTGAACAGGTAGAGCACCAGAAACCACAAGGAATAAGTACAGTGTTGTCGCCTGAGCATGAAACACGGCTCTTGGTGTTGCTTTGCTGTAACTGCCATTTGCCATTAGGAGGGTAAGAGGAAGAAGGTATCATCTGAGTAGTTTCTGGTTTCTTTCTTTCTTTCTTTCTTTTTTAATTTATTTTCAGAGGACTTTCTTCTATTTAATAATTTATTTTATATATTTATATGCAGTGCTGAGAATCAAACCCAGTGCCTCACACATGCTAGGTAAGTGTGCACTACCACTGAGTCACAGCCCCAGTCCAATTTCTGGTTTCTTGATATATTTTGGCTTTCTTCCTTCTGACTTTTTTACCAGTGTTAATTTTTCTGTAAACTTGTACTATGGTGTCTTTCTTCCTTTCTTTTTTTTTTTTCCTTTCTACACTGGGGACTAAATCCAGGTGGGGGCTCTATCACTGAGCCACATCCCTAGCCCTTTGAGATAGGGTCTTGCTACATTGCTTGGAGCCTTGCTAAATTGCCCGGGCTGGCCTCAAACTTATGATCCTCCTGTGTATCTGGGATTACAGGTTTGTGCCACTGTGCACTGCAAACTTGGACCATTTTTCAGTTTATTATTATTTTTTAATTTTTCTGATTTTTTAAATATTTTTTCTTAGTTGTAGAGGGACACAATACCTTCATATTATTTATTTTCATGTGGTGCTGAGGATGGAACCCAGTGCCTCACACATGCTAGGCAAGCCCTTCGGTTTATTATTGAGCATCCATCCAAAGGCCACAATAGTGATCTTGTTGGTCCTGTGATGGCCACTTGTTTGGGAGTCTATTGGTCAGTGAAGGGATGTAAAGCCTTAGCCACTGGGTAGAAGTTCCCATGTGGGATCCAGGCAGGGTTTGATTAAAGATAGGGGAGCCAATATCTTTATTAAAGTTAGATGGGCATGGGGCTGGGGTTGTGGTTCAGTGGTAGAGCACTTGCCTAGCACGTTTGAGGCACTGGGTTCAATCCCTGGCATCACATAAAAAATAAATAAAATAAAGGTATTGTGTCCATCTGCAAATAAAAAATTTTAAAAAATATCTGGGCATAATAGTGCATACCTATAATCCCATCAACTCAGGAGGCTGAGGCAGGAGATCACAAGTTTAAAGCCATTCTCAGCAATTTAGTGAGGCCTTAAGCAACTCAGTGAGATCCTGTCTCTAATAAAATATAAAAAGGGCTGGGGATGTGGCTTAGTGGTAAAGGGCCCCTGTATTAAATTCCCAGTACCAAAATAAAGAAAGAAATAAAAATAAAATATAAGAATAAATCTGATTGCAGATGGCAGGAAAAAAAAAAAAAAAACGAGATTTGAAAAAAAGCAGTGTCTAGAACTTTGAGTCAGCCAGAAATGATGAGTGGAAAAGTAGGTGGGTTAGTCCAGATAGGGTAGTGAGAGTAAAAAACAAAACTGAATTCATTATTTACTTCTTTCATTAAGCCTGTTCCTCATCCCATATCCTCTATCCTTTTTTTGGTGCGGGGGATGCTGGGGTTGGAACCTGGGGCCTCACACATAGCATGCTAAGCGTGTTCTCTACCTCTGAGTTGTGTGTGTACATGCACGCTGATTGAGAGTAGCAGCGTCCAGGTAGAGACCAGAGATTCATCCTAGTTCTTCCATCTTCCTAACCTCTTCATCCATTGGCTCACCCTAAATAAGTCACCATATTTATTTATTTATTTATTATTATTATTATTTTTGTGTGTGTGTGTGTGTGTGTGGTGGTGCTGGGGATTGAATCCAGGGCCTTTTGCATGCAAGGCAAGCACTCTACCAACTGAGCTATATTCCTAGCCCTTATTAATATTTTTAATATTTTTATTTTTATGGGCACCAGGGGTTTGGACCCAGGGTTCTTCACCACTGAGCCACATTACCAGCCCTTTTTATTTTTTATTTTGAGACAGGGTCTCACTAAGTCGCTTAGGGCCTTGCTAAATTGCTGAGGCTGGCTTTGAACTTGTGATCCTCCTGCCTCAGCCTCCTGAGCTGCTGGTATTTATAGACATGTGCCACCATGCCTAGCTATTTAACTTATTTTTATTTATTCATTTTTTACCATACCAGGGATTAAATCCAGTGGTGCTCTACTACTGAGCTACATCCCCAGCCCTTTCTATTTTTATTTTGAGACAGAGTCTTGCTAAGTTGACCAGGCTGACCTCAAACTTTCCTTCCTCCTGCCTCAGCCTCCCATGTCACTGGGATTACAGGACTGCACTGCCACTTCTGGCTAAATAAATCCTATTTGACTTCTTAGTGACCTCTGAAGCCTGATGTTGTTCTCCATTTCCACACCACTGTCCTAACCAGAACTGGCTGCATCATTTGTGGGGCTTAGTGCAAAATAAAAAAGCAGGGTCCCTTCCTCACAAAATATCAATAATTTTGACTCAGTGACTGAAGAGCATTAAACCGAGCACCAGACTCTTCTTTTTTTTTATACTGGGGATTGAATCCGGGGGCACTTAACCACTGAGCCACATCTCTAGTCCTATTTTGTATTTTATTTAGAGACAGGGTCTTGCTGAGTTGCTTAGTGCCTCACTTTTGCTGATAACTGGCTTTGAACTCACAATCCTCCTGTCTCAGCCTCCAGAGCCACTGGGATTATAAATTCACCTCTGCACCCAGCAGGTCCAGACCCTTCTAAGTGTGGGGCAATGACACAGGTGGCCTGGTCCTAACACAAGTGCTTTCTACCTCTGTCTGAGCTGGTGCATCTTTACTGATCTCTCTCACTCCCGGCCTGCATGCCTTCACTCTGTACAGCTATGTGAGGGCAAATCTCTCTAAAGACTTCTAAAACTCCAACTCCTTAGCATGATAAGCAGGGCCTTCTTCACCCCTCCCTTGCTCACCTCTCTAGGCTCTTCCCTGTTGTCCCACCATCACACTCCTGGTGGCTTCTGCCTGACACTGTTCTATGCATGCTGTTCCTTTTGTTTAGACTGTCCCATCTATCATCCAAGAACACTGTTCATCATTCAAAACAACTCAAGCTGGTAGTGGTACCACACCCCTGTAATCCCAACGACTCGGGAGACTGAGGCAGGAGAAAGGAGAGTTTGAGGTCAGTCTGGGCAACTTAGTGAGACCCTGGCTCAAAATTTTAAAAAAATAAATAAATAAAACATGCTGGAGATGTAGCTCAGAGGCAAGATGCTCCTGCATTCAATCCTCAGTACTGCAACAAACAAACAACGCTGTGCATGGTGGTGTGTTGTCTGTAATCTCAGCGATTCATGAGGTTGGAAGACTAGCCTCAGCAAATTAGCAAAGCCCCAAGTATTTAGGGAGACCCTATCTCAAGACAAAAAATAAAAAAATAAAAAGCACTGGGGATGTGACTCAGTGGTTAAGCACCCCCAAGTTCAATCCTGGGTACCAAAACAAAACAGCCGGAAAATGGCACATACTTGTAGGAGGCTGAGGCAGGAGGATCAGTTGAGCCCAGGAGTTTGAGGCCAGCTATCTAGAAATCAACCAAAAACAGATGGCGCGTCAGATTTGGTCCATAGGCCACAATTCACTAACCTCTGATTTAAGGAATTAAATGAGCCTTTATACATTTACATATCTTTGTCCACAGCTAGAATACACATGAGGCCTTGGATCATTCTTTCTAATGTCCCCAGTGTCTTGCTCAGAGTCTGGTGCACAGTAGATACTCAATGAGATTTGTGGAGTAGACAGATGAATGAATGAATGATTAAACAGGAGCTTGGGTGCCTTTGGGAAATGAAGCCATAATCCCAGATGCCCCATTTTCCATCTTTTTTACCCAACTCCATCTCTCACATGTGCTAGAGTATCACATGGGACCCTCTGACCTGAACCACCTCCAACTCCTGGACAGAAGACAAGCAGTGCTACCCCTAAACAAGCCCAAGGCTTCTGGGGGGCCCAGAGTTGCTCCTGGAAACTGGCCTCATTTTTGGAGTGGCCCAGATGACCTGATGCTGCCTCCAGGTCCCAACCATTCTCTGCAAGGATCTTCTAAGTGTCCTACCAGGCAAAGAGGGGAAGTAAGCAGAGTCCACGTCTAAGGAAGGAGAAAGGAAAGAGTGAAACAACTCTGGAGTAAATAGATGGGGAATTTCAACAGAGCAGCCCAAATTTCACTTGCTAAAGCAAAATGAGTAGGACCAACCGGAGGTGGGGAAGGAAGTGGCTGAGGTTGGGTAACTGGGGAGTTTCTTATTCTCTTAGTCTGGTATAATAGGAGACAGGAGAACAAGCTGCCTCCTACTTGAAACCTGACTTTGCACTGCTTTGGGGGTGAGTTGGACTTCTTCCCTTGGAGAGAGAATCAAAGACTGGGAGACTCAGGTGAGCACTTTTTTGGGGGGTGTATGTTTACTTTGTTGGACTTCTCATTTCTCAGATAGTAACTCATAGATAAAACTGAGGTCTGTGTGTATGTGTAACAGAGGGGAGCAGAGGACATTACAGCAGCCTCTTAAGTACAAAGATGGGACTCCTGAGTAGTCTTTGGGAATGGGGGAGGAATTAGGAAGGTGGAGGGTGCTGGGTTTACTGAGAGCTTCTGGATTTATGTGGGGGCAGACAAAGACCTGAGACATTTAGAAAAGATATCTTTGATAAGAACTTGGGAAAAATCTTTGGGATTTTGAAAGGACCAAGCCTAAGGGAGAGTTGGGGACCTTGAGATGAAGAGGTATGAGAATGGTTTGGAGGATGGTGAATTAAAGTGAGCTCCAGGAGCACACCCAGTGGCCAGGGGCTCAGAGCTGCTCAACAGACCTAAGTCAAAGCCTGGCATGTTGGCGCCTGCCTGTAATCCCAGTGATTTGGGAGGCCAAGGCAGGAGGATCACAAGTTCAAAGCCAGCCTCAGCAAATATGAGGCACTAAGCAACTCAGTGAGACCCTGTCTCTAAATAAAATACAAAATAGGGCTGGGGATGTGGCTCAGTGGCTGAATGCCCCTGAGTTCAATACCCTGTACCCACCTCACCTCACCACCCAAAAAGGGCTGGGAATGTGGCCCAGTGGTTAAGCACCCTTGGGCTCAATCCCTGGTACTGAGAGAGAGAGAGAGAGAGAGAGAGAGAGAGAGAGAGAGAGAGAGAGAGATCTAAGTGCAAAGGCAGGTTCTGACTCCGGTTTCCTCTTCCACTCCCTTCCCCTTCAGCCTCCATGATGAGGAACACCTCTGAGGCCAACTTCTCCTGCTACCATCAGTCTGTGCTGGGCTATCATTACTTTGCAGTTACCTGGGGGGTGGTGGTGGCTGTGACCGGCACTGTGGGCAATGTGCTCACCCTGCTGGCCTTGGCCATCCAGCCCAAGCTCCGGACCCGCTTCAACCTGCTCATCGCCAACCTCACCCTGGCGGACCTGCTCTACTGCACCCTCCTCCAGCCCTTCTCCGTGGACACCTACCTCCACCTGCGGTGGCGCACTGGCGCTACCTTCTGTAGGATATTTGGACTCCTCCTTTTTGTTTCCAACTCTGTCTCCATCCTCACCCTCTGCCTCATTGCACTGGGACGCTACCTCCTGATTGCCCACCCGAAGTTCTTTCCCCAGGTTTTCAGCACCAAGGGGGTAGCGCTAGCACTGGTGGGCACCTGGGTTGTGGGTGTGGCCAGCTTTGCGCCCCTCTGGCCCGTTTACGTCTTGGTACCTGTGGTCTGTACCTGCAGCTTTGACCGCATCAGAGGCCGGCCTTACACCACCATCCTCATGGGCATCTACTTTGTGCTGGGGCTTAGCAGCGTGGGCATCTTCTATTGCCTTGTCCACCGCCAGGTGAGGCGAGCAGCCCAAGCGCTCACCCAGTATAAGCTGAGCATCCGCAGCACCCACGTGGCGGGGACCAGTGAGGTCATTCCTGGTCGCTTCCAGGAGCTGGACAGTGGGCTGGCATCCAGAGGGCTCAGTGAAGGGATCTCATCTGAGCCAGTCAGTGCTGCCACTACCCACACCCTGGACGAGGGCTCATCAGAAGTGGGGGACCAGGACAACAGCAAGGTAGCTAAGCAGTTGGCAGAGAAAAACCCTCCAGAAGCTTCTTCCAAGGCCGGGCCAACTAAAGGAGCCCCAAGAGCTCAGGACTCTCCTTCAGAGTTTGGGAAGGTGACCCGGATGTGTTTTGCCGTGTTCCTCTGCTTTGCCCTGAGCTACATCCCCTTCTTGCTGCTCAACATCCTAGACGCCAGGGTCCAGGCCCCCCGGGTGGTCCACATGCTGGCAGCTAACCTCACTTGGCTCAATGGCTGCATCAACCCAGTGCTCTATGCAGCCATGAACCGCCAGTTCCGCCAAGCCTATGGCACCCTCTTAAGACGAGGGCCCCAGAGTTTCCGTCGGTTCCATTAGAAACATGTCCCCAGCAACCAGAATCCCAAATGGTCTCTGGAGCCAGAGTGGCCAGCTGGCATGAGAACAAGTGACGGTCAGACCTGTGGGCATTTTTACAGTCTGTCCCCCAAACCACGGTTCTCCATCCCTTGATGAATGATTCAGCCCCAGGCTGCCCAAGGAGCACTATTAATTATTAACAGGTGAATTGCATGTTTTGTTTTGTTTGTGGCGCTGGGGATCGAACCCAGGGCCTTGTGCATGCAAGGCAAGCACTCTACCAACTGAGCTGTATCCCCAGCCCCGAACCCTTTTTACTTTTTATCTTGAGACAGGGTCTTGCTAAGTTGCAGAAGCTAGCCCCAGACTTGGGATCTTCCTGCCTCAGTCTCCCATATTGCTGGGATGACAGGTGTGTGCCACCGTGCTCGGCTAAATGACATGCTTTTAATGTTTGGTTGTACTCTCTGAGCAAGAAGGAGCTGGAACCTAATAAGTGAGAATGTGGGGACCTATGTCAGAATAAGGATAAAGAGCACCTGGCCAGGGACAGAGCCTTCAGCTGAGGGGTGTCCCACTCATAGAACACAGTGAGGTAGTTTAGAAGAATGAGCTTGGCAGTGGGTTCCATCCTCAGCACCACATAAAAATAAATAGACAAAATAAGGTTAAAAAAAGAAAGGATTAGCTTGCCTTTTTTGCTCAACTTCCCAGAAATGATCTCTGCCCCTAACAACTGCTGCCAGCATCCCCCATCTCCACAAACAGGTTTATTCCACTCAAAAAAGTTTGGTGATCCAGCTTGGACACCCACTCCAGTGAACCCAGCTGCCCGCCCTGCCCGGTGCAAAGGGAAGAGTCACTGATGAAGAGCCCTGGCTCTGGGAAATGGAACTGAGCTTTGCCGAGGCAAAAACACGCTTCAGCCCCCCTAGTAGGGTCTCACTCTTTGTAGCTAATTCATCCTGTTGCAGGCCATTTAAATACCCCATTATCCTGGCTTCTGAAACAGGGCAGAAACCAAGAGGGCTCTGGGGCCAGAATAGCGGGGAGACCATACCAGCCCTTTCCTCCAGCCCGACCTACACATCCAGTCGCGGTGGGCATGTGCGTGAGAACACTTGCGGCCACCAGGTGACGCTGGTTCTCTGTGTTTTCCTTTCTGGCTTTCTGCTTAAGGACAGGAAAAAAAAAAAAATACCAGCAGAACAGCAAGTCCAGTCCAGGGGTCAGAGACCCAGGGATCTGCACCTGCCCTTTCTCCAAAAAAAACTTAGGAAGAAAAGAAAATAATTGAGACCTTTTAATTTTTCATGAGGTATTCATTATCTCTGGTGGGCAGCGTGGGAGAGCAGGGTGAGCACTGTGGTGGCACTGGGGGTGGCATATGAGGTCAGGCTGGCACGAATGCGGAGGCTGAGAGTTGTCCCCTTCCTACCCACAAACCCGCGTGGGTTGAGAGCACAAGGGAAGTCTGGAGAGATTCAGGCAAGGACACAAAGAACCAGAGTCCAGGTGGACAGATGGAAACCCTCACATGCCACACACCTCCAGGGCCCAGGAATCCTGTTCCTAAACTGGAACCTGCATTTTGTGGTGTCCTCCTTCCACAGAGATCATCAGCAGTCAGGTTGAAGCTACTGAGGCAGGGGAACTGCAGGACCAATGAAGAACATCAGCTTGGGAGTGCAGAGAGGAGGGTTCCAGTCAAGGCTCGCTGGGAATCAGCTCCATGAACTTGAACAGATCTCTGGACCACTCTGGGCCTTAGGTTTTATGATCTGCACAAGGGGGAGGGGACTCTTCCATGAACCTACTGCAGTTCTAAATCCTGCAAATAAATTGTTTTACGTAATTCTCACAAAATTCCTGTGAAATATTTATTATTATACACATGAGAAGACTGAAGTATAAACAAGTTAATTTTGTGCAAGGTCAAAGGGCTGGTAAGTGATCTGACCATGATTTGAGGGCAGTCATGTTACCAGCACACATGGCTAACCACTACAGAACAGCTGCCTTGCTAAAACTAGGATCAAGTGACCAGATGATGCCTAAAAGTCTGTCCTACTAGGACCTTCTAAGATTCTGAAAGTTGATGACTCTCTGAAGGGTTGTAAAAGGGTTTACTTTTCATATTCCTTGAAGGCAATTCAAAAGCTTCCTCAAAGTAAAAGGGAGCAGCAATAGGGACTGAGGTTAGACCGCAGGAAGGACTTCCTAATTAGCAGTCACTGGAAAAATGAATCAGGTGACGTTTTTAGGGGTAAAAATGTGAAAGAAACCCTGGAGTCCGAGACCATACAGAGGACAGGTATTAGCAAGAAGGCAACCCTCTTCTTTCTCACCCTTCACAGCCCTAGACACCCACCCCTGGCCCGGTAAGGGCTGGATAAGGGGAAAGAAGCGGCTTTCTTCAGGTGCTGTCTCCCCTGCGGATGTGCGTGGCGCGTGTCCCTGCACTAGGTTCCCCGTGGTGGGTTGCTCACGCGTGACTCGGGACAAGTGTATGCGTCTGGGAGCCCTGCGTGCTCCTGAATGTGAGGGTGTCTGTCTCTGTCTCTTTTTCTCTGTCAGCCTCCCGCCCGAGCCCAGCTCTATCGCTGACTCTGACGCGGCTTCTCTTTGTCTCGCTCCATCTGCCCGTCCCTCCCGCAGGCTGCACGCACGCTCTTTCCCGGCTTTCGCCTCCGCTCCCAGCTCGCGCCGCCCCCGCCCGCGCCGGAGCCCGCGCCTCGGCCTCCGCCTCCCGCCCCAGCCCTCCTGGCTCTTGCTCTAGCGCACACTCTCTCTCTTTCGCTGTCTCTTACAGGCAGATTTATGGTCAGCCCAGGGCCTTTCATTGGCCAAGTGCTGACAGGACTTGATTTAACGCCGTCTCTCATTGGCTGAGCTTGACAGGCCGATTTACGAGTCTCTCTACCATTGGCCAAACCGTATTGGCCCTGATTTATGGTTCGGTGGCTGCGCGGGCGGGGGGGGGGCGCAGCTAGGGAGTGAGGAGGCCCGTCCCCGCGCCGCCGCGTTCCTCCCGCTCTACCCGCTCGCTCTCTTGGCCTCCCCAGCCCCTGAGGAGCAGGGCTCCCTCTACCTGTTCCTCCAGCCCCCTCCCTGCCCGTCCGTCCGCTGGGAGGGGAACGTGGGGCAGGGTGGCGGTGGGAACGGGAGCGAAGGACCGGGTCTGAGGGGTCCGGGTAGGGACACTGAAGTCTAGAGCGAAGAGGAAACTGAGGGGGCCCCAGGGTGACAGAGGAAGGTTGAGGGACAAGGTTGAGGGGCGGCGGCCCGGGGAGAGCGGGGAAGGCCTGACCGGAGAGGGGGCGCGTCTGAGGGACAAGTGGGCGGAAGCGGAGACAGCGGGCACCGAGGGGCACTTCAGACCTCACTGTCCCAATTGGACGAGAGACAGATTTCCTTTTCAGACAATGGCTGCAGGGGAAAGGCTTAGAGGAGGGAGAGACAGGGATAGCCGGGGAAGGACCACTGAAAGGTAATAGGAAAGAGAAGCCATGGGGAGGCCGGAAGTAAGGTCGACTTTTGTTTTTCTGCTGTTTTTTTTTGGGGGGGGGGGCGTGAGAAAGACTGATGCCCAGAGGAAGTTTTGAGAGAAAGGCTCCCACGCTCCCATTGGCTTCTGCATGGGGACAAGTGAAGCGCCTCCCCAGGAGATGTTCTGCTTTCTCCAGGCTGCAGTGGGCTCCCCATTCCATGTGCCTCACTCCTCCCCCTTGCTCACCTCCCCAGTTAAATTTATGAGTTCAGGATTGGCTTTCAGGAATTAGGAATATTTATGCTTCTTTGAGAGTGAGGTTTGGAGGGTGATAAATAGGGGTCCATGGGTGTGGGGGGGTGCGGCTGGGGGCTCCTGTGTTTAACCTGGCTACTTTCCCAATGCCCCCACCCACCATTCCTTCTCATCCTGAGCCAGAGAAGGAGCACTCCTGGGGAATGGGTTTTGGGTTTCGCTATCAGGAAGGAGGCTTGATTATCCTGGAGAACTCCCCTGCCCCACTCCCACCCCCATCTCAGAGGTCTGCAGAGCTTTGCAGCAGAAAGGATTGAAGGCAGATAGGAAAGAACTTTTTAAGCATCCTGGCATTCATAGAGCCCCTGGAGTGCAGTTATGGCATTTCTGCAGAAAATAGGGAGAAGTCTGTTTCCCCTCTGTTCCCCTAAACTCAGTTGCCTAGGAATAGGGGAGAAGGGCCAGGAAATTCAAAGGCAGGTTTCTCTAAAATGTCACTTCCCTCACACGGAGAGGAAGATTGGAAACCTCCCACCCCCCAGAGACCACAGCCTAGATCCCTGGGAAAGGAGGCTAGGAATGTGGGCTCTGAACATCTCCTAGGAGCTTCAGGCCCCAACCTGTCCACCCCCACTGCTGGCTGAGAATTAAAAACAGCCAGTAGTTCTGGACACCCCTTGCCCTGGGCCTCCAGGAAATGAGGGAGGGAGAAAGGATCTGCATCTGGACCCACATGCCTTGGAGAGTTCTGTTCCAAAATCCGCCATGTCTGTCACCCCAATCCAGTAAGAATGCTTATTCTGGGCCTGGGTAGATAGTGAACAAAGGGATGGGCCCATAATATAAGGGAGGTTTAAGGAGACCAAAGAGCTGGGGAGGAGTTGCCCTGCCCCCACCATCCCCTCCATCTACTCTGGCCTTAGCAAGGATGGTCACAGTGCACATGTGTACACAGGAGACTGCTGCCTGGAGTGGGAGGAGGGAGGGAGAGAAGGGTCTAGACTGGCCCTTTAAGAGCCACTTAGGGTCAGAAAGCTTGGGCTACAGAGAGGGGAAGGAGCTGATGTCAGAAGATGGATGGGCAGCAAGATGGGGATTGATGCTAATGGGGGAGTTAAAGCTAAGTACCCAGACACTCAGAGGGCAGAACTGCAGATCTGTCTTCCTTATGCTCACCCCCCTCCCAAACCAAGGCTGTAAATCTGTCTCTTCAATTGGGGGGAGGGGAGTAAGGAAAAAAGAGAGGCTCTCTTCTCCCTTTTCCTGTTTTTTTCTTTATGCAGCCCCCTAGATCTTCTCCCAATCTCTCATCCCAATCCATGATCCCTTCTCACTAAAATGTCCAATTTTTGGCTTTTTATAAAAAATTGAGAGAATGGCCCGGCATGGTGGCACATACCTGTAATTCCAGCCACTGGGGAAGCTGAGGCAGGAGGATCTCAAGTTCAAAGCCAGCCTCAGCAATTTAGGGAGACTCTGTATCATAATAAAAAATAAGCTGAGTGTGGTGGTGCATGCTTGTACTCCCAGTTAAATTTGACTTGGGAGGCTGAGGCAGGAAGATTGCAAGTTCAAAGGTCAGCCTTAGCAACTTAGCAAGACCCTGTCTCAAAATAAAAAGGGCTGGGGATGTGACTCAGTGGTTAAATGTCCCTGGGTTCAATCCAGGGTTTAATTTTTTTTTTTTTTTTTTTTTTTTTTGAGAGAATGGTTTCAGCTTGCAGAAGAGTGTAAGGAAATTTGTCCTCAACAGAACCCATGTAGGACAGGTTGATGGGATTGTGGTGAGAGACTATAGATTGGAACTTCCTGGTTGCCTCAGTTTCTCTTCTTCTCACCCTATTTTTACCAGGACTGTAGGATGGGGCAGGATGTAGGATGTTCTATGTCAGGCTTGTGAAAGCCCCTGTCACTGAGATTCTGGAGGGATTGGCGCTCAGCCTCCAAGGGCAGCTAGGGAAGTTGTGGGAGCCCTCCACTGAAGATATACCATGTAGTTTCTCAGAAACTACTGGATCATACTGTTCCCTCTTGAGCACCCACCCTATCTGTTGAGTGGAGGTAACTTCAGGCCAGTCATGGATTTGCTGTAAAAGCAGGATCCCCGGCTGTTCCTTATGCCTCTCAGGAAAGAGATGGGGATTTCAGGGAAAAAGGTCTTAGAGGGGCTAAAGCTGGTAACTTCTAGTTCTTCTTTGTCAGATGGGGCTGTATCTCCCACCCTTCAGGTCTGTCACTTCTCTCCCTGTTGGCAGTCTGGGCCTGTTCTGGAGAAGACTCTATGTTAGGGGGCAGCCCCTCTGTATCCCATCTGTTGCAGTATTATACCTGAATTTCTTCCTAGTCCTAGAAACAGTTGGTGCCTGATTGTCTCTGGTTTCCAAGTCCTCCTCCTTATCCATAAGATAATAATCCTAAAACAGGGATCTTATCTCTTCTCTCCTTCCAGGCTCTCCTTCATAGGCCAAAAATCACCTCAGAGTTATCCTCTGTTTTCAGCCTTCAGAGACCAGGGCGCAAGCAAGACTGGCACAGCAAAAGTTGGGGGTTGTGAGCAGGAGCCACTGGAAGCCAGCCTTCCAGCCTCCCATCACAGGGAGGTCAGCCTTTGCCCTCTGTATGCTTCTCTATACTGGTGATAAATCCTGTCTTTGTCTCTCCTCTGACCCAGACCCCAGGCGGCCTGGGGGTCACAGGCTGGGGGAGGGGTCAGTAGGGAGGAGGGGGAGATACAAGGAGAGTGGGAGGAGAAGACAGACAGGAGCAGCTGGTGGGCAGGCCTCGGGGTAGGCAGTAAGGGGCTGGGGCCTCTTGATTCTGTGGATTGGTAGGCATTCCAGCAGGCCTGCATTCCAAGTGAGAAAGTCAGGATCCCTAAGATGTGAAAGTACCTTCAGAATGGAGCTTCAGGATTCCTGGGGTACTGCAGGTGTTGGTGTGGGGTGCCTCAAGGAAAGAGGCTGCTAAAACAAATGGGAGAATAATGTTGTGGGAATCATCACTATCCCCATCTCAGACCCCTACTCTACATACATGTGCTTCGTGCACATGCGCAGGCACACAGGATTTATGGCCTGTCAGCAGGAGGGAGCCCAGGAGAGCCAGCCTACTCCTAGCCTGGCCCCTCCCCAGCAGTCTTGTCTCTATGACTTTCCTGTCTCTGTCTCTGTCTCTCAGTTTTTCTCTGCTCCCAGCCTTGCTTGCTTTCTTTGTGTCAGTTTCTCTCCCTCTCCTGGTTGGTTATTCTTGCTCTCAGCCTTTGCCTCTTTGTCTCTTACTCACATTTCCTCCCTCCTGGTGTTGTTCTTCCTGTCTTCTTGTACCCCTCCTCTCCTCTCTTCCAGTTCCTTAGACTCTCCATCTGTCTCGCCTCTGCCACTCTTCAGTCCAGCCATCTCCCCTACCTCAGTCCTCCCATGAACCCTGTTCTGGCTGGGGTAGGAGGACTTTTGGGAGTCAGGTTGCGAGGAGAGATGGGAAGGAGAAAAGAGGCTCTGAGGAGTCCTTGCTGTGATGGGAGGTCTGAGAAGCGTTGGATTTTGCTATGGTGTGGAAGTAGAGGAGGGGGAGGCCGGGAGGTGACTAGAGAGACGCACAACTAAGGGAGACAAGAGACGGACAGAGGGCAAACAGTAAGGAGAGAAAGGCAAGGACTCTTTTTTTCTTTTTTTTAAATATTTATTTATTTATTTATTTTAGTTTTAGGCGGACACAACATCTTTGTTTGTATGTGGTGCTGAGGATCGAACCCGGGCCGCACGCATGCCAGGCGAGCGCTCTACCACTTGAGCCACATCCCCAGCCCCTAGGGCAAGGACTCTTAAGAGGGTTTTGTGAAGTCTGAGGGGAAAAAGCTGAGAAGCATCTACTGTCTCATGTGAGACAGATCCAGAGACAAGGTCTGGAGACCCTGCCAGACAAACAAAAACACACTGTCCACCATACAGCCACAGTCCTGGATGCTCTTGCCTGCCCAGGAAGTTGTAGAAGGCCTCTTTATCCTATGCAGACAGTCTTGAAGTGCTGGTTCCCTCCCCACTAACCTCCTCTCTGCTACCTCCCTTCCTCCCCTAGTGAGAATGACATCAGCTCTGGCTGCCGCTGTCCTCAGCAGCCTTGCTGATGTACTCTCCCATGGGTGCAACAGAGGCCAACCACCTCTGCTCCACCCATTCATTCTCCAGCCCAAGAGCCAGGAGCCTGGGGTTACACAGCCCAGCCCCCTGCAGTGGGAGTGGGAAGAGGCTGTACCAGGAAGGTGGCTGCAGGAAATGGTGGGAAATGAGGGGGACATGGGTACCAGGGGGAGGGAGAGGAGCCTGAGGGGGGCACTTGAGGAAGAGAAGCTGCAGTAAATCACTCTGTGGGGGTGCTCCCTCTGCCTGAGCTCAGTGGGGTGGGGAAAGGATAGACATGGGGGGGGGGAGTGGGGAATTGCCACATCTGGCAAGCAGGTGTCTGGCACTGTTCAGGCTGTAGTCACTTTCCCAGCCAAAGGGGAAGAAGCAGGAGAGGGGGGGAGGGGCCTCTTGGGGTCCCCTGGGAAATAGGGAAAGGCTCACAAACAGAAATTCAGAGGCCCACAACCAGACCAAAAAAAAAAAAGCAAGGGAGATCATGCAATGTTCCCCTGTCTCTGCTCCAGTCAGTGCTGAGGATGGTTTGCTCAGAGTCCTGAAAGAAAATTGCTGACCAGAATCCTGGGTAGGCCTGGCACCCAAAGTTTCATTCCTACTGGGAAAGAGAAGACAAGAGAAACTGAAGCTCAGAGAATTCCAAGTTTGAGACTGGATAGAACTCAGCTCACCACACCATCGCTGGTCACCAATCCCCAACTCCAGCACTGACACATCCCCTACCCAAGGACCAAGCTGGGTGATAAGGCAGGTTAGGATGCTAAGTCTGGTCACTGCTTTTTGTACAGCTCAGGTAAAGACAGAATGACCCTAGCCCTTCTGCCTGCTGCACTCCAGCTTTCAATGCAAGACCACAGGCAGGAGTGACGTAATGGAACATGAACTTTCTTCTTTTCTATGTGCTGAGAGGAATCCTGCACCCAGGTGCTCCCCACTTGCTGAGCCTAACTGTCAGGTTTCCAACGGGAAGCAGGCAAGTCCTGTGCTGCAGGGCTTCTTCTCATTCTTGGACCTTCCTCCCCTCATCCTTTCCATCTGTCTTGCTTAATCCTGGAATTGCAGGCCCAGTTCATAAGCAGTAGAGGTGACTGAGAAGGAGACCCTTAAATTGCAGTGGAGAGGAGGACTCCCCAAACTGCCCCCTCCTTAAAATCCTGCAGAGGAAGGGGGAAAGAAAACCAAAGCATTCTCCTGTCGCCGCGGCAACCATAAAACCCCCAGCTAAATCCATCTTGTGAGCTCACCGCCCCATTAAGATGCAGGGCCAGGCTCTGCGCCAGCCCAGCCACATTCATTTGTGCGAATAAAGGTGGAGGAGGGGGAGGGGAGCAGGCTCTGGAGGGACGGGGAAATGGCGAGAAGAGGTTATTTACACCGCCGTCCTGACCTTCTGGAGCAGCGCTGGCTCCGATAAATAACCCGCTCAGCGCCGTTTCAGAGCAGGAGTGGGAGGTGCAGGAAGGGAGCAGGGGCTGGAGGAGAGCCCCCACGCAGGTGCGCGTCTCTGGGTTACTAATGGCTGAGGCGGGAGCAGGCAGCTGGCTTTGGGGGTGGTGGGGGGAGAACTCAGTTCCCTGAGACTCCCACTGAGAAAATACCATCCCCACCCCACCCCTGGCGCCAATTTCCAGGCGAGGGGACGGAGCTATGCCAAGGAGGCAAACAGCCCCGTAAATTAGGGATGGGGGGGTTGAGTTACTGGGGAGTCTCTGAGGTAGGAGGGAAGAAATATTATAAGATGGGGAGTGGGAGGGGGCTGGAGGAATAGGAGTAGCTGCCAAAAAGAGAGGAAGAGGAACAGAAACATCACACAAAGGCAGTTTGGAAAAAGAAATGTTTTATTCCTCGTCACACAGAGCAGCATAGGAAGGTGGCCATCTCCTGACTGTACATCTCTTACACCAAGATGCCCCTCAAATATGCCCAGTTGTCTGCCCCACTTCAGTGTTGGAGTACTGGCAGTTAGTGGATGGGACAGAATGTTTAAGTCTCAGGAAGGTTATCTTTTTGTGGGGAAGAAGTTTTGGGTCAGGGGAAAAATTAGACCCAAGAGTGGATGATCCATTCTCTTATCCTCCTGGGGAAACCCAAACCCCAAAGGAAAGTGACCTCTCCTGGCCACATAGGGAGGGAAAGAGACCAGACCTACTGCTTTCATGTAAGGCTGAGGCAAAGGAAGAACAGGGTTAAGCAGCAGATTGCAGACCCAAGGCAGACGAGAAAATACATGTTGGGAGCTGAGGGGACCAATCACCTCAAGGGCCCAGTTGAAAGTCCCCCTCCTTCCCCAGTTCTGAGCAAAAACTCTTCTTCCCAAGACTAGAATGGAATTTTGTTCTAGGGACTGGCTTTGCTCTGGGGCAGAGAGGATAAACCAGGTAAAAGGCCCATGGGTAGTAAAGATGGAGAATTAATGTTGCAGATCAAGAGATGGACCTCCCCAGAATGACCACTCACAGACCACAGCAGTTTTAAAGCTGCATGCCAGGATCAGGGTGGAGAATGAACTTTATAAGCCCACTCCATAACATTTAACTCACTGTTTTTGCCACTCCTATAAGCTGCCTCCAATCACTTTTCCAAGGCAAAGGACAGGGCAGTAAGAAGAAATGGGGGGAAAAGGCTGAGGCCAGTAAGTGGAGCTGAGACTGAGACTGGACACATCCCTGCCCATCCCCAACCTCACTCATAATATAGAAAGGAATTCTCCTCCTACCTCTACCCTTGCTGGACATATGGGCTGTTGGGACAAGGCCTGGTAAAGGCAAAGGGAAGAAAACACTCAGCACATTCTTTCTCCTGCTTTGATCTGGACTGTAGCTACAGCGAAGGGCAAAGGAGTAGACAAAATATGGGGGCAGGAGAGCATGGACCAAAATCCAGTCTAGAAGGAAAGAGGATGTTTCCTCTGCTCTGCATCCAAATCTGCTTGGAGCTTTACTCCTAGCAAGACTGAGGAGAGAGAAGTGTACTGGGGGAGGGGCAACCCCAGACAGGATGGAGATTTAAGGATCCCTTATAATCCGGGAGATGACCCTGAGAGCACCGGTTTGGGCCTGGATGAGAAATCACAGCAGACATGCAGAGTTTTGAGGGGGGCGAGGAGCCAGGCACGGGGTCTTCACCGGAGGAGTGACCACTTGATCTGTTCTTTAGCTGATTGAAGCACCTGCAGAGACAAGGGCAGCACTGAGGGAGACTTGCTGAGGGGCAGGGTGGGAAGGGGGCAGGGCTCTCCTTCTCGTCACTTGCCTTCCCCGTCCTTAGAAGAATGAGGAATAGAAAATCCCCAAAGGTAGAGGAATAGGAAGAAGTCTCTAAGGCCCTAGAGGATTGTCAGTTTGGGAAATTCCCCCAAAATTCAAATCCACTGGGAGGATGAAGAGAGAAGAGGTATACCTGGGAGGAAAGAAAAAAAACTGGGGGTTACTGGACATATGTTAAAAAGAAGAGGTCATACATCCAGATGAACTCCTTAGGGAGGATTTCTAGTGGGTAAAAAACAACCCCTCCCTTGGCCCCTGAATCAGGTAGACAATCTATCTGCAGTCAAGGTAGCAGGATGGATCTGCAAAACTTGTATATCCTAGAATATGCATTTCCAGCCTTCATTTGAATAATAAGAGAAAGAGAGTGTGTACACACACGCACACAGACCATCTGCTTAAGGCAAGCCTCTGCTGGGGAATAAATCACTGAATGAGGCATCAGGCAGGGAGGGTTTGAAGGGTACTGAGGAGGGCTGACAGCCACTGCTCACATGCAACTGGAAGAGGAGTTGGGAGGGGGGTGGGGAGCACAGGGCTGTGTGAGTTTCAGTTCTCCGGAATAAGAGGGAACCAGGGAAGATCTCCAGTCTCATCAGACTTGGCAAACTGGGATGGACTACTATTCCTCTTTAGTGACCCCATCCATCTGGAGAGGAAGAGAGAAAGTCATACCTGAGACACGGTCTGCTCCGTTAAGGGGACATCTTCACCCTGTGGCACAGAGAAGCATTTAGGTTGGAGGCTGGCAGTGGATAGGAAGAGGTGGTCTTTTAAACTGAAGCAAAAGGCAGGAGCCCTAAACTTCTCAGTCCCTTCTAGTACAGCCACAATTTTACTTGGCCAGAGGGACCATAAACACAAAAGGGTCATTTCATCCATCCTCCATTTTAAGGCAAGACTTCTTAAAAGATTTATTCCATTTCGAGTAATCAGCAGGTTATCTGATCCTCAACTCCCTCAACTCGGGGGGGGGGGGGACCTGATTCCCTAGTCAGAGAAGACCTTCCCTGAATATCAATATCGCTGGGGAAAGGATGAGGGGGAGCCAGGGATAGTTTAATGGATCCCGCAAGGCCTGATGGGTAACGACAGCATGTTAATTTGAAGAAATAAACTGCTGCAACAGCAGCCTGAGAAGGGGAAGGGGGGAGTCGGTGGTGGGGGACCCTCTCTCTTGCCACATAGAGACATATGTTAGAGGAGAAGATTAAACTATGCAAATGGAGCCCACGGCAGTTAAGGGAGAAGATTTCCCATTACCCGGCACTGTCAGCCTTCACTCTATGGAGGTCAGAGCTGGGACATTCTGTGAATGGGGAGATTTGCTTTGTTCAGACATCATAGCACCCCCTCAATTTGCAGGTAGGCTCTCCTACCCACCATGATCCCCATAGCAGACTTGCAGCCTTTTGTAGCGGACTCAGAGGCCCCGTTCTGATATCACTAGTACCAAAGAGGACTGAGGTTCTGATGAACAGAACCTTTTTTTGGTAATGGGGATTGAACCCAGGGGTGCTTAGGCACTGAGCCACAGCCCTAGCCCTTTTTATTTTTTGAGATAGGGTATTATTGAGTTGCTTAGGGCCTTGCTGAGACTGGCTCTGAACTTGAGATCCTCCTGCCTCAGCCTCCTGAGCCACTGGGATTATAGGCATGCACCACCATGCCCGGTAAATAAGTACTTCTTGATGGAGAGGTAGTACTCTCAGTTATGTTAAGACTTTAATGTTTTTTTTTGGGGGGGGGCTCCCAGGAATTGAACCCAGGGGATCCCCAGCCCTTTCGATTTTTTATTTTGAGCAACTTTGCCAAGTTGCTTAGGGCCTTGCTAAATAATTGAGGCTGGCCTCAAACTTGTGGTTCTCCTGCCTCAGCTCCCAATCCACTGGAATTACAGGCGTGAGCCACCACACCTTGTTACATAAGACTTTAAAAGGCAAGAAAGACACTCCTCTGTCTCAGATCTATCTTCAAAGAGGAAATAAGTCAACCTCAAGTTTCAGAACCATGAATATTAAAGTTTCTTTTATTTCATCATTCATGCAATACATTAAATGTTTACTTTGTACAAAGACAACATGAGATGCTAGGTATCATGTTAGGGGAAGAAATAAGTTCCTTTGCTTCCCTTCCTTCCTAAGATAGGAAGGAGGGACAAAAGTTGTATGTATGCTATCAGCCCAGACCCTTAGACACATTCGGTTGGTCTGGCTCTGGAGGGTGTTTGTGGATAGATTCGGGGGAGGGGGATAACAGGAAAATACATTGCTGCTGCTTACCCTTAATGCCACCCGGTGTACAACTTGCTGGGGATCACTCTCTAGTATCACCCTACAGAGACAAAAAAGAGACCACTGTTCACTTTGGGATATGTGTTGTGATTGAACCCAGGGGTGCTCTACCATGAGCTACATCCCCAGCCCTTCTTACTTTTTAATTTTGAGATAGGGTCTCACTAGGTTTCCAGCACTGGCCTTGAACTGTCAATCCTCCTGCATCCATCTCCTGAGTCACTAGAATATAGGCATGTGCCAGCACACCAGGCCTCCCAGCCCTTTTGTGTATGTGTATGGTGTTGGGGATTGAACCCAGGGCCTTGTGCATGTGAAGCAAGCACTCTACCCGCTGAGCTATATCCCCAGTCCCCTCTCAGCCCTTTTTATTTTTTACTTTTGAAACAAGGTGTGAGTTCCAAGGCTTTTTTTTTTTTCTTTTGGTACCGGGGATTGAACACGGGGGCACTCAACCACAGAGCCACATCCCCACCCTATTTTGTATTTTATTTAGAGACAGGGTCTCATTGAGTTGCTTAGCGCCTTGCTGTTGCTGAGGCTGGTTTTGAACTCTCAATCCTCCTGCCTCAGTCCCCTGAGCCGCTAGGATTACAGGCATGTGCCACATTGCCCAGCCTAAGACTGCTCTTGAACCTGCACTCCTGTCTCCTGAGTAGCTGGGAAGTACACCAGGATGCCTAGCATGTTCACTCTGTCCTAGTGGACCAACATACTATGGGGACAGAATTCTGACCACTTAGCCCACTTGACTTAGAAGAAGAGCAAGCCACCCAACCATCCCAGATCCAGGCAGGTAAGAGAACTCACCCTCCATCTACGATTTCATCCACAGCCAAGAAGAGCCCCTCCATGTTCTCCAGCAGAGCTCGCTTTTCTACATTTTTCCTGAATCCCCCAAAGAAGAGAAAAACCAGTCCTGTGTGATAGAATCCTAGGACATTGTCTGGATAGGGATCCCAAACTATACTAATAAATATGTCCAACAAGCACATAAAGAGGTGAATAAGATGAAGAACTTTTTAGCCAACCTAATTTCCTCTAACCCTTTTCCTATTTTTGTATGCTGAGTAAGAATCAGGAATGTCAAAAAAGAGTGTGAATAATAGGCTGATTATCCAGAGCTATTGTTTCTTTCTTTTCTTTTCTTTTTTGGTATTGAGGATTGAACTCAGAGGCACTTTACCTCTGAGCCACATCCCCAGCCCTTTTTTGTATTTTATTTAGAGACAGGGTCTTGCTGAGTTGCTTAGTGCCTTGCTTTTGCTGAGGCTGGCTTTGAACTTACGATCCTCCTGCCTCTGTCTCTGGAACTGCTGTGCCAAGCCCTGGTCTCACTAAATTGCCAAGGCTGACTTGAACCTGAAATACTTCAGCCTCAGTCTCCTGAGTTGCTGGGATTACCGGCACAAGCCACTGAGACCAGCTTAGATATATAATTTTTTTCCTACGTGATGTTTTCCTACTATGATGTTGTTCATGACATTGCTTATAAACACAGACATCAGTAGGTAGGAAAAAAGGAAACAAACACAGCTAAAAATCTGGAGGTGGTGGGAGGTGGGAAGGGGTTGAATACAAACCCTATCTGCACTCAAGCTCTGACAAACCTCCTACAGCTCGCTCTGCATCCCATCCTCCCCCTTCCTTTACCAGCTCTGCTCAGGCTCAGAAAAGAATCCCAACAAGGGGGCTAAGAACAATCAGGGTCCATATCCACCAGCTGCAGATCCGGTGGTTGGTGCATGTGGCCTGTCACATCCGTCAGTTTGACTCTTTCACTAGATTACCCAAAATGAAGTCTATTCATTCACCTGGCTAAAAAATAAATCATCCCCTTCCTGAGGAAACCTGAGCCATTTGCCCTGCTGATTTTGTGGGGCTGAGAGCGCCTGCTGTTCTGTTCCGGATGCTGTCTGTACTGGGTTCACTTGGGAGCTGCTGGGGGAATGAAGTTCAGAGCCCTGGGTGTTTTCAGGAAAAGTATCTTATGTCTCTTCTCTTGCCCATCGACATGGAGAACAGAGGACTAGTGAGGAGATGGAAAGGGAGGAGAGGGTAAAGAGCACATTATTCCTGTTCTACAGAGGGGGAAAATTAAGGGCTAGAGGTAGAAACTTGGGAGTGCCGCCTCCATTCCCAAGGTATGAATGTTTCACATGGGATACTTCCTTATGCTTGCCCTTTGCCTGCTTCTAATGCAAAGAATGACCCCTCAGAGCCTCGGAGAATGAAGCATCAGGAGGGGCTGAGAACTCTGACAGAGCCACTGGGGACCAGTAGGAGAATCCCCATCCTCAGGAGAATTACTCCATGGGAGGGACATGCTCTCCATCCAGTCCTCCCCCTCAGTGTGAGTTACTCTGAAATAATAAGACCACTTCTTAAACTAAATTGAGTCCCTGGAGCCTCTGCTGATCCCCCTCAAATCCTTGGGCCTGAAGAATAGCTACTTTCTCTCCCAAACCAACAGTAAGAATGGCTGCTTACCTCAGCATCTGGCTCAAGGAGTCAAAGAGGCAATTCAGAACAGCCATAAGCATCAACTGTTGAGAGACAGAGGGAGAAAGAGAAGGATCAGGGCCCTACAAACTGCTCCCCAAAAGCAAAACCCTCCAATCAAAATACATGGGCTTTCTAAAAGGACCAGAAACATAAGGTAGAAGTGAATACAACACAGGAAGAGGACGTATGGTTTCTCACAGGAGTGAATTCTGCCACACCATTCCACAATTTGAGGCCTCTTTAGCCAGAAGTTTAAATAGAATTTTCCTGTTGTAGTCCTCCACATATCTTTTTTTAAAAAATAACTTTATCTTATTTATGTATTTTTTTTATGTGGTGCTAAGGATTGAACCCAGTGCCTCACACATGCTAAGCAGGCACTCTACCACTGAGCCACAGCCCGAGTCCTCCACATATCTTTACTAATTGTATATGTGTTATCTGATGTCTTAAGTACAGAGAAAAATCACTGCTAAGGTCAGAGAAAGACAGCATAGCTAGTGGAAAGAGCATGTCCTTCTTTTTGCCCCTATGGTGCTGGGAATCCAATCCAGGGCCCTGAGCATGCTCAGTGCACACTCCACCAAATGAGTGTACCCTCAGCCCAAGCACGGGCTTTTAAGTCAGACAGAACTGGGTTTAAACCCCAGCTGAACCATTTCCTATACATATGACCCTGACAGAATTATTTCGTTGAACCATATGAAACTGCCACTTTTGTAGTTTTGACAATGGCCACAAACAAATAATTTTATGGTTCCTCATGGTTTGGTTTCCTCATTGATAAAACAAAGGCACTGACACCTAAGACTCACAGAAGCACTGCAAGGTTTAAATAACAATGTACTTAACAAAGCACTCGAAGCAATAAGAGCTCAGTAAGGGGTGCATCTCTCAAACTTTTTTTTTAATCTATTTATTTTTATGAGGTGCTGAGAATCGAAACCAGGACCTCACATGTGCTAGGTGAGCGCTCTACCACTGAGCCACAATCCTAGCCCTCCGTGTCTCTCAAACTTTGACTTTTGCTAAAAATTATCTGGGGGCTTATTGTTACCTATCCTTTCCCCCCTCAAATATTTATTTTTTAGTTTTTTTAGGTGGACACAATATCTTTATTTTATGTGGTGCTAAGGATCAAACCCAGTGCCTCAAGAGTGCAAGACAAGTGCTCTACCACTGAGCCACAACCCCAGCCCTTATCTGCTCTTATGGAAGTTGCTATTACTTGACATAAATGGTTTTTCCTGAATATAGGAAGCAGGCTAGGATCTCACCCATAGTCCCATTCATACTGTATGACTTCATCCAATGACCCATTCATACTGTATAGCTTCAGCATGACCCAGAATATCTGTTCCTAGCTCAAGCTCAGTCGGGTATGCACCATTCACAGAGGACCCAGCGTCCTGACCCAACCTTGACCATATCTCAGAAATCCATCTTAAAAAACACTGTGCAGGGAAGGATATTAAAACCTGTATTATAAAATATATATATACACATACATACACACACACTGTGCCTTCTATATGGAATTAAGAAAGTGGGAAAACTTCCTTTCTAGGCAGATTCATTTGTGGAGCCATGGTGGAGATCTCTGACCCCTTGGTTAGTCCTGTCAGAAGCCAGAGGAATGTGGCTCTCCTAAGCCCAAAACATGCGGCTACGTCCTGCCTGTGGTTTAGGAAGTGGATCAAAGATAGTAAAAAGGACTGGGGATTCTCACCTCATTTTCATAGGAGCTGCCAATCACATAGAAATAGAGATCGATACTGCTTTTATACACCACCGTCAGGCCTTCCAAGAGGGCAATTTCACCTGGGGGGAGAAAGGCGGAAACAGGGAGTGGCTTGAGATGAGGAAGTAGGAGTTACCTGAACTCCTGGTATCCAGTTGTTTGGGGCCAAGGTAAGGCAGGCTCTAATGACCTCCAGAGACTTAAACTGACCTATTCTTTTGGGGTGGTATCAGAAGGGAAATTTAAACCGGGGGACTCTAAATTGTATCTTCTCTCTAACCTCCCTCCCCCACTCCTACCCACTACACTTATTTCCCTCCTTGTATATGAGACAGGATACTAGTCGATCCTTCGGAGGTGAAAATGCAGAGCGGTCACCTTTACAGACTTCCATTTACCTGCCCTAATGGATGCGGTACAATAAGCAGAGCTGCAGTTAAATTTGTCAAGTGAGGCTCATAAATCCAGGGACTAGACAGGTAGCTAACAGCCAACCTTCCAGCACAGTATTCCCGCGTGAGGTACACTCACCTCCCCATTACATTTCTGAAGAGTTTATTATATGAGGGGAGGAGGTGAAAAAGAAAAAGGAGGCAGTCATTTTATCCTTTTTCCGCAGTCCTGCTGCCACCCCCTTCCCACCATGGTTCGCCCCCAACAGAGGGAGTAGTGAAAGGAAAATGACCTACTGTCAGTCCGATGGGTCTTGTTGAAAATATTCTTTTCAAAGGCCTTTTGCTCCTTGACACTGGGGTAGGTGTCGTCATAGTACTGGTCAGAGGGAAAGGAGACAGGGTTGGGTCATTAGAGCTGGGAGCCCAGAATGATTAGTGACTATGCTCGCCCTGGGATCTTGGATTTCTCTCCTTCAAGGCAGAGGGTGAGGGAGAAATAATGACGTGGAGAAGGAAGGGCTACTGAGGCAGAGAATGAGCAGTGAGTAATCAAATTTAAAGAAAGAATTAAAGAACCCTGCAATAAGCAATCCCACTTCACATTTCTAAAACGGTGGGCAAAGGTCTACCAGACCTATAATGAGGCCTGCGTTTTTTGTTTGTTTGTTTTGTACCAGGGATTGAACCCAGGGGCACTTAACCACTGAGTAACATCCCCAGCCCTTTTATGTTTTTATTTTGAGATAGGGTCTCACTAAGTTGCTTATGGCCTCACTAAATTGGTAAGACTGGCCTCAAATTTGTGATCCTCCTGCCTTGGCCTCCTGAGTCACTGAAATTAAAAGTATGTGCCACCACACCTGGAGATGAGGTCCTGCTTCTATCTGCATTTTAGGAGAGCTCTCCTAAGACCGTTCCCACCAAGTGCTTCTGGGGAGCTGCCCTGTCAGGCAGCCATGCCAGAGAAAACAAAGACTGGAAGGCAGAACTCTTCCTCAGACCCTTCCTCAGACACTCCCTCACTGTATGAAGCTGAGGAATGAGGAAAGACTGTAAAACCCTCCTCCACAGCATGGGGAGCCCTGCCCTGTGGTCTCTCTCAAGTCTCAGCTTTCCTTTCTGCAAACTAAGAGAAGCAGGGGGCAGTCTAGCACATTGCTGAACCTATTCCCAGGCTCTCCCTGGCAAGGGGGCGGAGATGCAGGCTGCTAAATCGTTCTGCTCTTTAGGGGCTAATCCGTCGCAGTCAGCTGAAGACCTATGACAGGTCTGGCATTTAGTAACTGGATAACTGTTTCAAAAGGTGTCCTGCATAGTTACATCCAATTACAGGGAGGAACAGCTGGTGAATTCTAAACTAATCTCTACCTGCTGATTGATTTATGCTATGCTTGCCCGGAGTTAATACACCAGGGACAGAAGAAATTTCTACAGGAGGGGGAGAATATGGAGGGAAGAGAGGGGTGTCCTTTCTCCTCTCTTTCAAAAGATCCAAAGTTAAAAACACCATACTGGGAAGGCAAGAGGTAAGAAGCTTGGTGAGTCCTGTAAATCTAGAGTTGAAACCACAAAACAATCCCCTGGGTAAATCCAAGCAGGTGACAGGGTGGGAGGGAAGGAGGTAGGAATGATGTACATGGGTAGAGTGCTTCTAACATCTAGACACTGCTCTGATCAGGAACCAATGTTCCAATGCTTCTCCCAGCTCTGATGCGGGTAACAGTGGAGGTCAAAGTCTGAGAACAGCAAGTAGAAAAGCAGTGTAGCTAGAGCCCAAAGAAAACTGAGGTTTTATCTGGAAATGTCAAGGGGAGATGGAAGATTCTCAAAATGATACTATCACTATCAAAGAATATGAGTTAGTAGGGCCAGTCTTCAAGATTCCAAGCTCGCAATGTCTTTGTCCTGCTCCTAAACTAATTTGAAAGGGAATCTCACCTTAGCAAAAAGTCGGTCTCCATCATTGTCCAGAATCAGGATGGCTTTGACAGTATACAGGGAGGGTTCCTGAGGAGATACGAACACACCTTCAGTCCTGAAGGCTCCCATCACCACTGGCACCCCAGATAACTTTCCCTAGTCACACTGGGGCTGTAAGGGGTTACAGAGGTGACTCTATATGTCCCCTTCCCTGACACAGTTAGATTTTGACATTTCCCACTGAGAATGATCAAGCAGTGAATGACCTGGGGGAGGGAGCATTTCAACAAAGGACTCCAAGGCAGCGACAGAGGAAGCATCTGACTCACAGAGAGCTCAGTCAAGGTAGGTCATGCTGTTATTTCCAAACACTGTGGTACAGTTATTTTCCAAATTACCATCCCTCCCTGGTCTCCCACACAGGTGGGTATGGAATGTGACCAGATTAATTAATAGGCATTGCATGAGGCCATCTGAAAATAGGATTGAATGCCCTAGTACACTTGGAAGTGTCTGCAGTCCCAATGCAGTAGCAATGCAGAGGCATAAAGCAAGCCTTCCCTAAACCACCCACACACTGAATAGAAGAAAATAAGTGTTTATGTGCATGCACGTGCGCACACACACACCAATTCTGAACGCAGCCCAGAGAGACAGACACAGCCCCAAAACTCTCCTACCAAGCCCAATTCCCCCGCTATATCCTAGTCACTACCACTTAACTTGCTAAGACAAAAACCAATCTGAATTTTGGGGGTCGTAAGAAGATTTGAGAAACACCCTGGGGACTGGAGGTAGTAAGCAAGAGGGGAATTTTCTTTCACTATCAAGAATCAAACCTAGGGGCTGGGGATTATGAGCTCAGTGGTAGAAAATGTGCTTAGCCTGCCTGAGGTCCTGGGTTCCATCCCCAGCACCGAAAAATAAAAAAGAATATTGGCTCTCATAAGGGAATCCCAGCCTCAGTCTAAAGGGTTACATTTAATTCCCTTCATCAACTGCAAATATACCTCTTTGCAAAAGCTCAGTGGTGGGCTGGTTGCAGCTGTTGCAGTTCAGTGAAGAGAGCACAGAAAGACAAAAAGCCGCAGTGGCTGGGGTCACTCTCTTCTAATTAGCTTACTAGGGGAGGGGAAAGGGGGAGGACAGGGAAAGCAGTGGTACCTGTACAGAAGGCATTTGCTAGGGCACATTCCTTGACTTGGCAATCAACACTACTTACCACTGGGATCCCTGCGCTATGAAATGGGGCTGCTGTTTTGCTCCTTTCCTGGTCTTACTAAGCAAAACCCCTAGTCCTCCAACACATTCTCTAAGGACATGTTGAACAAAGACCCAAGGGTGAGGAGAAAAAAATTATACCCAAGGATTCAGAAACTACACGTTCTACAAAGGTCAACTGGCTCATGAGGGTCCAGGAGGTGTAGGTGTCCCCGTGAGAAACCAACAGAGTTCCGGAGGGGGAGGGGAGGCTAAGAACAGGAGTAAAGGGTGATAAGAAATGTCAACTTTCACAACTTGAATTCTTGAGGACAGCAATTTGTTTTTTTGGTTTTGTTCACTGATTTATCTGAGTGTCCAGAACAATGCCTGACATATACTAAACTCAGAATTTGTTCAATCATGGAGAAAATAATTTTGATTTTTAAAAAAATTTTTTTGGGGTGCTGGGGATGGAACCCTGAGGGCTTGTGCATGCAAGGCAAGCACTCTACCAACTGAGCTATATCCCTAGCCCGAAAACAAATTTTCATGATGTAGTGAGCATCTAAGGGAAGTTTTAAAAATATATTTTAAGGGAGGGAAAGGGAGAGAGAAGGGAAATTGCATGGAAATGGAAGGAGACCCTCAGGGTTATACAAAAGTACATATAAGAGGTAGTGAGGGGAAAGGGAAAAATAATACAAGGGGGACAAATGAATGACAGTAGAGGGGGTAGAGAGAGAAGAGAAGAGGGGAGGGGAGGGGAGGGGAGGGGGGATAGTAGAGGATAGGAAAGGCAGCAGAACACAACAGACACTAGTATGGCAATATGTAAATCAATGGATGTGTAACTGATGTGATTCTGCAATCTGTATATGGGGTAAAAATGGGAGTTCATAACCCACTTGAATCAAAGTGTGAAATATGATATATCAAGAACTATGTAATGTTTTGAACAACCAACAATAAAAAATTAAAAAAAAAGGCTCTAAGAAAAAAAATATATATATATTTTAAGGTATCAATGGACCTTTACTTATTTATTTGTATGTGATGCTGAGAATGGAACTCAGTGCCTCACACATGTGAGGCAAGCACTCTCCACCACTAAGCAACAACCCCAGCTCTAAAGGATTTCTTATAATTAGATTTCTGCATATAAGTGGATTTTTCTACTGTGACCATTTGGGGTGATATTACTACTGACCTTACCTCTCCTCTGACAAGCAATCCTTAGAGCTGCCCCCCATAAACTGCACTCTGGAATAAACAAGGTAGAAGGAACTTCTGTCTCCAATCAGGAAACTGTTGTCTAGTAGAGGGAAGTCCTCTAGAGTCTAGTCTAAATTAAGGTCACAAACAGAAGCAGCTTTCCTAACTCCTACCTAGCTCCTCAAAGATCTTCCCATACAAAGATTTCCCCATTAATGCATTAATGCAGCCTCTGTTCCATAGCAACTTAGCTCCTAGATTCACCAAGAGGGAGACAATAAAGGATTTCCCTGTCAGTGAATTGAGAATGAGTTTCCTTCTTTCTTTTTTCTTTTTTTTGGTACCAGGGATTGAACCCAGGGGCATTTAACCGCTGAGCCACATCCTAATCCTTTTGATTTTTTTTATTTTGAGACAGGGTATTGCTAAGTCATTAGGGCCTCACTAAGTTGCTAGGGTTGGTCTCAAACTTTGCGATCCTCCTGCCCCAGCCTCCTGAGTCACCGGGATTACAGGTGTGTGCCATTGCAACCAGTGTTTTTCTTTATTTTCCCCTCTCAGTACCAGGGATATAACCCAGGAGCATTGTACCACAGAGGTACATTCCCAGACCTTTTTATTTTTCTCATATTTTGAGACAGGGTCTCACTAAGATGCCCAGGCTGGCCTCAAACCTGCTATCTTCCTGCCTCAGTCTCCAGAGCAGCTGGGTTTTCAGACATGTACCACCACACTCAGTGAAATGAGTTTCCTTAATGGAAACAAAGAAGTCCAAAAGAAGGAAGTTTAGAAGAAATCATTTTTTCCTGCAACCGTTTTCCCTGAAGATCCTTGGCTTTGTCCCTCTATCCATTCACTGCAACTTAGAGAAAAGCCCACTAGTTTATCCTGGACCTTATTCAGGCATAGGTGACTGGTTCTTGCAGGCACAGAATCTGGTATACTTAGAAGGTACAGGAATACAAAGAAAAGAAAAGCCCTATTAGCCACAAGCCAACTGTGAAAGTCAATGTTCTTGTGGCCAAAGTAGTATCAGTGCCTAAACAGTTATGCTGGCAAAGAGAGAAGAACATTCCCTGGATTCTGTTTCTGCTCTTTTCACTGGCTTCCTAGAATACCTGCTTAAAAGAGAGACACTGGGTCTTCCCGGGCAGCATAAAGATTGGCTGAGGAAGGCACGGACAAGGTCCAGATTCAATGTATTAGAGCTCTGGAAGAAGAAAGAAGGCATGACAGAAAAGCTGGCTAGTTCAAACTTCCAAAGAAGAATCACACTCAAAATAGCTAGAAATGCATTAGAACTTCAATGCTGCTTGACATTTCTATTCTACTTCCGCTGGAGCCAGCAGCAGCTTCTTTACTTCTCCTGCCACCTCCTGACTGCAGCCGGTTCCACTTCAGCCCGGGGCCTTTACCTTTCAGGAATGGGGAGGGCCAGGAGTTCCCCTCATGCCATAAAACCAACCAGTTTAAAGGCCCCAGAAGCCATTACTGATAATGTAATTTCATTTTAAGTTTTAGCAAAGGGCAAGTTTATAAATAACTCCCAGCTACTGAGAAATGGGCTTCCTAGACAATGGACTAGGCTTGACCTTGTAGCATATTAAATGCTGTTGTTAAGAAAGATCCTACAAGCTTAGGCCCATATTCAAAGGACTTAAAAGGTCTATTCTTCCCTCCCATTCCCCAAATGGGTAGCTGCTAGAAAGCTTTCGAGACAAAGTTCTGTGATGCACTGACTTTCAGAGAGCCACAGCCTGAGTGTATAACAGAACTTCACCTCAAATGCTAATGGTGCCTGGAAATGGTGTACAGGCAGACTGGTTTGTAGGACAGATTTTCATGCATGTTTTTATGATCAAGAAAACTAGAATGCTCTGCTCAGGACAGCTGAAAACACCATAAAATTAACAAATGAGGCTTCTGCAAATGTGTCTTCAATCTCTATAAAGGGCTTCTGAAACCTGATGAAAAACACTGTCTTCCAGAACCCTCTCCCTCTGCACACTTAGGACTGTAGGCGGTGGGGTGGGGGTGGGGTCATTCCTAGTGCTGCCCCCTGTGGGCCTCTGGATGACCTGCAGCTTGCTCAGGACTAGAGTCATTAGCAAAAGTATTTAAAAGGCAGCTCTGGATAAAAGCGGTGTAAAGACCTGTAATCCCAGCGGCAGGAGGCTGAGACAGGAGTTCAAAGCCAGCCTCAGCAAAATCAAGGTGCTAAGCAACTCAGTGAGACCCTGTCTCTAAATAAAATAGGAAATAGGGCTCAGGATGCGGCTCAGTGGGCAAGTGCCCCTCAGTTGTTCAATCCCCGGGTTAAAAAAACAAACAAATAAAAAACCTCTATATTTGTGTGTCTTTTAAGTGAAACTAGTAAAGATGGATTTTTAAAAATCACTGAGTTACTCTGTTTATATAGTTTTATATAGTAAGAGAAAGGGCTGGGGATGTGGCTAAAGCAGTAGCGTGCTCGCCTAGCATGTGTGCGGCCCGGGTTCGATCCTCAGCACCACATACAAATAAAGATTAAAAAAAAAAAAAAAAAGTAAGAGAATACTTTGGGGTGTAACACTCGATATATCTTGATATGCCACCAAAAGACTAGAGGAATGGTGTTTAGGGCAGATTGATAGAATATTTGGGAGCTGTGACTAAGGGGGCAAAATCAAAAA